GAAGAATATGAGGGCATCAAGTCCAACTATGGCGAATACAATTAGTTCTTTAACCACAATGAAGCCAGCAGAAGTTTAGTTCCAAATTATTATGCAAATTGTGTTTAAGTGTCATAAAGATTAAAGAAGTTGTTTTTCAATTAAACCATGGATGGAATTGTGTCTCAGGACTCTTTGTATCACTGAAATCAATCTTGGACACCTATGATCATTAGTTTGCCAGGTGAGCCCAATTAAATCTGATTAAGATAACAGCTGCTAAAAGGCCATTACAAAGCAGCAAACACATATTTGAAGCTGCTGGTGCCTCTGGAGCTTTGCGAACATCAAGGTGTAGGATCCTCCAGAGACTTGCAGTTGTGCATAAACCTTATATTTGGCCAACCCTAACCAATGCTCACAAGCAGAAATGGCTGCAGTGGGCCCAGAACTACATGCTACAAGGAACACCGCTGCTATCCGCGTAAAAGGAGAGGAACTCATGGTGTGGCCCCCATTCTTCCCTGACTTCAATCCTACTGAGAACCTTTGGAGCCTCCTCAAACAAAAAAATATGAGGGTGGGAGGCAGTTTGCATCCAAACAGCAGCTCTGGGAGGCTATTCTGGCATCGGGCAAAGACATTCAAGAAGAAACTTTCCAAAAACTCAAGTTCCATGGATGCAAGAATTGTAAAACTGCTATCAAATAAGGGGTCCTACTTGACCTGTTAAGATGTTTTTGATTGAAATAGCTTTTGATTTCAGTAAAATTGATCTACTAATGCTGCAAATTCAACAAATGACCATTTTCAATTCTCTACAACCTATAAAATGTTTTGAAACTCTGTGTGTATAATAATTTGGAACAGTGCGTTTTAATTTTTTTATTTTTGAAAAACATACTGTGTTCATTGGGAGTTTTGATCAGTAACATTTGAATTATACTCTAATGGTGGATGACACAAAAATTATGCTGACTGTCATTTGAATCGACTATTTAGAAAAAACAGAGAAAAATATCATTTGCATAATAATTTGGAAAGCGGTGTAATGTGTGCAAAGGAGGCAAAATGTACAGTTTTAGCAGTGACATATCTTAAATTTGAAATGCCACAATAAATATAGTACTGTGCAAAAGCATTTAGCCACCTCTTGTTTCTTTATATTTGTTACCAAGTTGCCAGAGTTTCCTGTCATGTTAAAAGTTGTCTTGAGCAACAGTTCTCCAGGCTTTCTGATGGTCTTTCAAAGTTTTTCTTTGGACATTGGCTGCTTTTTCACTCATTGTCAGTTCACTCTTTGTACCTGACCATTTTCAGAGGTATGCTTTTGTTTGATTTTGGAATACTAAATACTGACCTAAGAGTCATTAAAGCATGAAAAAGGCACCAAACTTACTGTAAAAGAACAGTGTTGTCTACAAAAAACTGGCAATATAGCAAAGAACCAGTTCTTTAAATTACCAGAAGCCTGTCAAAAAAAAACATATAACTGTTCCAATTTCTTAGGTTGAATGTATGAAAAATAACCAAAGACAACAATGTCACAGGGATAATATGACATTTCAAAATGGCAAATGTGCCAACAAGGTGATTTCAAAAGACTTATTAGCTGAAAAAATGGCCTGTCTCAGGATGGTGTGCAGTGTTTCTTTAAAAAAAATTGAAAAAACTGGACAAGTATGGGAAAAAAGAAGAAGTGGTCGATCTAAAAAAACAAAACAAAAACCCCTTGTTTACAGCAGATGAACAGTATCTGAGAGTCATATTCTTAAGAAAAAGGAAGAAAATCCAGCAAAGACACACGATTTGAGAGAGACATCTGGCCCTTTTGTTGATTCACTGTTCGGTGAATCCTCATCAGAAATAGTCTTAGTGGAAGGATGGCATGAAGACGTCATTCCTAAAGAAGGGAAACAGCGGGAAATGACTGAGGTATGCCAAATTACACAAGAACTGGAGTGAAAATCGGTGGCAACAGATTTGTAATTTTACATTTTTGGTTCAAATTACTGTCATTGTCATCGGGCAATACTTCTTTTACAGATGAAGCCGTGCCTTGACGAACAGCTGTCCACATTCCGGTATCCCATTTTTCAAGTCTCCAAGTAATCCTGCAATCCTGCAGCCAAATACTGCACTCAGTTTTAGGATTAGCTTCAAAAATATAACTGCTGTACACAATATACAGTTGGTTTATTTTCATTATGTTAATATTCACACGTATGTGTCAAATGTCTGATATAGAAATGAAACAAGTAGAAGTGTTGGGACTGGCTCCCCTAAAGCCCAGATGGTATATGAAGCTTTTGCCATCCATCCACACAAAGTGTGTCTCCATATTGAGATCATTCATGCCAATCTATCTTCATTGTAGTGCTGCATCTGTGATGTTAGGAATGCTAGCAAGCAATAACTAATAATTTATCATTTTTAAATGTAATCTTTACAGACAGAGAAAAGTATACTTTTTTTTAACATTAGAAGTATATTACAACACGGCTCCTACTACTCACCTTGCTCAACTCGCTGATGATTGGAACCCGATTTCCTCTTTGGCTTTTATGACCTGGCACCCTGCCAGTCTTTGTGAGTCCCCTCAACAAAGTTGTAGCACCGTGTAAACAAAATAAGTTTAGGGATTTTCTGTTGTAATTACAAAGGGACGCTTACTGGAAATGGATATGAGAAAATGTTTTTCTGAAACAGATTTACGTTTCTGTCCTTAAAGTGGAGGAAAACCCTTCTCTTGTTTGAAGACATGCATGGGGCATACCAAATAAAAAAAACCGAAACCTCTTTAGCACAGGCCCTATTCACTTGAAATTCTTGAGCAATAATGCGTTTAATTTTAACGTCTGTGATTAATGAAAATAAGTATTGGTACCGTGAATGTTCTATGTGTTTTAGACTATCTCTGAATTAGACTCACCCATGCAGTTGTTACTGAATGGCCAGTATTTTTCCTAATATTTACCTAAATGATTCATAGCCAAATTCACAATCATGCCAATGTGGTACTGTCCTTTTGTATCTGTCTAAATATAAACAAAGAGAACCAAGTGAGCAGCAATTTTGCCATTATGTAGTATTTCAAGCCAAATGAAAACAGCGTGCTCACAGTGGCAGTGCTAACAAGCTAATGGTCACCATCTTGGTTTACCATGCTGACGTTTATAAGTACAGCTAACTGAACCAAACTAATGGAACTAAAAAAAATAAGCACACAAATTGCAAGCTAATCCATCAGGTCTACCTTCTGGTACCATAACTTTGAAGTACCTTAAGTAGATCATGGCACCTATTTCCCATTTCCTAGCAAATTATAAAGAAATGAGAGGTGGTGCAAGACTTATAGAATAGAATACCTTTTATTGTCACTATACACATGCACAATGAGATACAGAGCATCTCCCACTCACTGACAGACATGATTATGCTGTTGTGTAGCACAGTATTCTACCTTAACCTTACAATTAACTCTGCCTTACCATTAACTTACGAGCAGTTGAAGGCCTTACTGTAGATTTAATATCGGAAAAAGACAGATAAATACATACATAAATAAATAAACACATACACATATATATACATAGTCTTTGACTTAATATTATAAAAACAACAACACCAAGACATGAAACACACAACAGACTAAAAATAGATGGATGATAAAAGCTAAATGTTAGAAGAAGGATTATAAAATCACCAGAGATATTACAAAGCATTCTGAGAGACAAGAAAATATATCTCTATGTTTTTTTTAACACAATCCATTGATTATTGAGAAAGTGGATGCTGCTATCCTTAAATCCACCCAGAACAAAGAAGTACAAAACAGAAAAACAGAGAAAGTTTATAGCAACCCGTGTAGTGGAAGCCGACAGAACCCAGGGCATCAAATCCGGAGGCACATAAGTGCATAAAAGTTGCCAGTGCTCTGGTGACTACAATGCTCAGTAACTACTCAGTTACAGAGTTACATTCATTTTCTTCTACTCATCCAATTCAGGATTGCATGGGAGCTGGAGCCTGTCCCAACCATATTCAAACCTAAGAACTCTGTGTCACTGTATCCTCTGCCAGGCATGGTGGCTCCATCATAGTCCGGGGCTGTTTCACTGCCAGTTGTACTAGTGCTGCCAGTACTTGTGGTACTAACTAATAATCAGAATTTCTGAATTATCTTTCTTCTTTTGCAAACACAAATACTTAACAACAATATTTAAAGCATGAAGAAATTATGTACAATATGGTAAAAAATTAAGACACCCTCCAATGCTAAAGCACATTTTAGCCTTTGTAGGTTGCTGCACCCACAAGGAACGGTAACACAGAGACACAGTACCTTCCCCTCTGAATCACCCTGAAAATTATCATGTCATTTACACCTGGTCAAATGCCTGTAAGGTCTACAAGCTTTTTGCAGACTTTTTTGGCAGGTTAGGCAAGAAGGGAAACAAACTGATCTCTCCATTCATCAAGAAAATGAAAGTCAACATTGAAGGTCAGGTAGAAATTTAAATGTTTGTAAAAAAAAAAAAAGAAGAAGAGATTAAATTTTCCAAGGGTAAAGATATTGCCGTTGTCATTGTTTTGTAACTGTTCTGAAGTAGCCATTGCATTATGGTTAAAGAAACACAGACTGTGTTATACAAGACTAAATTTGAAGATATTTCATATGTCAGAAGATTTGGCAGAACAGATATGAGGAAACAAGGGTATAATGAGGTTTGTTGGACTTTGCTGATGTGATGGGTTTTGCAGGATAGCACTTCTCATGAGGTTTTGGGTGAACAGTACAGCGATGATACGTTTCAGCATACTTATATGACAAGAGGAAATCCTGCTCCCTATTCGGGGAAATGTGGGACAATATGGCCACTTTGGCCTCAAACTGCAAGAATTCCCGTTAATACTTATTAACTTACACGGTAAGTTATAAGTAGCGTGAAGAGCATATAATGGAGGTGGGTTGCAATGCGGATTGCAGGAACAGTGAGTGAATTCAATCTTGGAAGGACCTAGGTGGCCAGTGGCTTCAAACCCATTTTGTTGTGAGGCAATGGTGCTAACCCCGACACCACTACAACTGTAGGAAGATGAACACGAAAAGTCAAATATATGCCCCATAAATGTGTAGTGGGTAAATGTCCTTACTATCTTCTAGATAGGAATATCAAAGGAGTGGATATAAGAGACGAAAACATATGTGATGGGATTTAAACCCTAAACAACAAATGGAGGATTTAATAAAAATGTTACATTATTTTTCTTTATGTGTGCACTGTAGTCACATCTTGATTGGTTGAGTTAAAACTCACGATACTAATGATTGGAAGCAAAATTACAAAACCTGCTATTGTCCAAGTACCTGAGTGTAAACTGCAGTGGGCATTATGTCATTAAAATATAGTACCTACTGTATGCTATTGGTATTTTTTCACATTAATGTCTTGTGTTACTTTATTTAATTTATTTTGGTTCTGCAGCTTTGTCTATTCAGAAAATGATAATTGTCACAAAAGTGTTGTGTCAGTGCTGTATTAATTTACTTAACACTTTTCAGTGTAGTCATTGTTTCAGTGAACAATGACTGCCCTGTTCTTGTGTGTGATGAAGTTTTTTTTGCAGAAGAATAACAGGAAACCCCTGCTCTTGGGGATTTAGAAAAAGATCAGATGAATTTAAGCAGAGTTTTTTAAAAATTCCTAAAATCATACATGGGAGCTCGAGTGACGTACAGAAATGTTCACAGTGTGTTTGCAGTTGCCTCCAAGCTCCTGCAATGCAAAACCCAGCTTGCT